AGTTCAGGGCCAGCCTGGGACACAAGAAACCACCTGAAAATAATCAACAAAGGGCTGGTGCGATGACTCATCAGCTGATACTCGTCACCAAGCTCGACAATCTGTATTCTATCAGGGGGACCCACGAGGTGGAAGGAGACAGCCACTCCTGAGAGTTGTCCTGAGACCTTCGCGTGTATAGGTGGACCTGTGTGTGTGTACATGCACACACATCCACATCCACAGATGAGTAAGAGAACGTAAGAAGGAGTCGGGGTGGAGAGACGGCTCAGATTAAGGGCAATTACTGCTCTTGCTGAGGATCTGACTTTGGTTCTCAGTGTCCATGTCGGGAGGTTCACAACTGCCTGTTCCTACAGTTCCTCTGCCCTCTGGCTTCCCTGGCACCTACAAACACGTGGCAGCCACCACGTCAGGCTTTTTCCCTTTGTTCTTAAGATGGAACTGAAGTCTTCAAGCTTGTGCGGCCAGTACTTTACCAGCTGGACCATCTCCCCAAACACTGGCTTTTGTGTTTTTTTTACTTTTGTGACAGGGCCTCACTATGAAGCTCCAGATGGCTTGGAACTCACGGACATCCACCTGCCTCTGCCTCCCAAGTGCTGGATTCACAGGCATGCGCCGCCACGCCAGGCCTCCAGTTCTCTTTCTCCATCTTGTCCTGTTTGAGCCTCAGGAAGACCCTGTGAGGCTGGCATGGCAGGGAGTTGATCCCTATTTGACACAGAGAGAAACTGAGGCCCAAGGATAAGGCACAATGTCTCAGTGGCTGCCACAAATCTAGTTGTCCCTTCAACAAAGGCACCAGGACATAGAGGCCCGTAGCCCATTCCCTGTGTGGGTTCTGGAAGCACCCTGTGGGGGCACTGGCCTGTGCTGCCCTTTGCCTCACTGGCCTTCTGGAAGGAGGGGCTGTTTTTCTACTTGGTGACAGACAGAACCCAGCCTAAGTCATCTTCAGGAATGCCTGACATTCCTCCATCTGTGATTCATCCTTTCTGTTGGGCAACCGCTCTGGGAACACTCTTTCCCTTCCCCTAGCAATGTTACTAAGGGCTCCAAGAGCTGAGGACGGGCTGAGCATGGTGACCTACACTTGTAATCCCAGCATTCCAGAGGATGAACGGGAGGATCACAAGTTCAAGGCCAGCTTGGGACACGAGACCCCATCTCAAAAACAAATAAAAGAATAAGGCTGGGGAGAGAGATGGCTCACTGTATAAATGCTGGGCAAGCAAGCGCGTTGAACTGAGTTTCATCCACAGATCCTAGATCCATAGACTTCAGAGAAAGAGAGGATTGACTCCCGGATTCATTCACACACACACACACACACACACACACACACACACACACACACACACACACATACAGAGGAAAGAGAGAGAGAGAGAGACACTAATGTACTTCTTTCCACAGATGGAGGAGCCATGGTCCAGGAGGAGATGTGGCAATGCCCAAGGACACCGAGCAAACCAGAGTCTGGGATGAGACCACAGCAGGTGTCAGGCCACGTTCCTGTGAGTCTCGCAGCCACCAGGAACCTCCTTCACGGGGCTCACTTCATTCTGGCAACCTTGAGCCCTGACTGGGAGGTCAGGCTGTGTGGGCAGCCCCACCCACTCCTTCATGTGCTCCATTATTTCTCGTGGGGCTGAGGGTGAAATCCAGGGCCTCGTGCAAGCCACACAAGCCTCTTCCACTGAGGCCCCCAGCTTTTCCACTTCCGTTTCTTCTGGTATTAGAGCCTGTTTTGTCATTAAGGGAACCAGGTGGCCTTCACTCCACCTGCTACCAGGTCCTGGAGTAATATTTGTAGGTGGCCCAAGACCTAGCTCAGCTCCTATCCGGTGCATGGCGTGGTCTTGGATCCTTCCAGTCCATTCTTTCCTTGTCTTAGTAAGCCCAAATCGGTATCTCCTGTTTGCATTAAAGAATTCTAATTAAAATAAGGCATGATGACACAAGTCTCTATCTCCACACTCAGGAGATGGAAGTGGAAGGATCAGGAGTTCAAGACCAACTTCAGCTACATAGTGAGTTTGAGGTCAGCCTGGCTTACTGGAAGACTCTGCCTCAAAAAACAAAACGAAGGGGTCAGATGTGATAATGTACACCTTTAATCTCAGCACTCAGGAGGTGCAGACAGGCAGAGGTCAGTATGGTCTATAGAGTGAGGCCCTACCTCAAACAAAACAAAACAAGAATGCTAAATGAAATATCCACTTTGCCAGGCATAGTGGCGCACGCCTCTAATCCCAGCACTCAGGAGGCAGAGTCAGGTGGATCTCTGAGTTCAAGGCCAGCCTGGTCTACAGAGTGAGTTCCAGGACAGCCAGGGCTACACAGAGAAACCCTGTCTCAAAAACAAAACAAAACAGGAAGCCGGGCAGTTGTGGTGTACACCTTTAATACCAGCAATTGGGAGGCAGAGTCAGATGAGTTTCTGTGAGTTCGATGCCAGCCTGGTCTACAGAGTGAGACGAAGGACAGGAACCAAAACTACACAGAGAAACTGTGTTTCCAAAAACCAAAAACCAACCAACAAACCAAAAACCAAAATAGGAGATACCTACTTTCCCGTGAAGAGCGTAAAAGATGATGAAGAGTCACAATGGATAAGAATCGACAGAGTTTGGGGCTTGGCAATCCTCCATTCCTGCCTCCCCAGCCAGGCTGCTGCCACCCAGCACTGTGCCAGCCATAGCAGGCAGGTGGGGTGTGAGGCAGGAATGTGGTGGGGGAATCCCTAGGGTCTAGAATCAGATCCAAGTTTGAATCCTTCATCTATCTACCTAGTTGTGAGAATCCAGCTCGACTCATAAGACAGACTCTAGGGACGCTGTTAAGTAGCTCATTGAGAGGATTTTGGCTTTAATGGCCCCACCCTGACTGAGTCCCTTTACCTGGGCAACAGCTGCCTAGGGATAAGGATAACACTTGCCTTCTATGGATGTTATGAGGGCCAAATGAGATATGAAGTTCTTGGCACAGAACTCAGACATTTAGTAAGTCTTCAATAAACAGTACCTAGGTGTTATGACGCCATCATGGCTGGCTCAGTCTGGAAGACCCTGTCGGTCTATCAAGAAACAACAAGTCCTTGGCTCCTCTTCTCAACACCCGCCTCTGGACCTCAAAACTTTCCTGGGATGCCTCAGGGCTGTCGCTCCTACCAGGCCTCTACAGTAAGCTGGGCCTGAGGAACATGGTTCTCTCCCGTCACGACTTCCAGTTTAGTGAGAGCCTGAGATACCTCAGAGCCCCGTCTCAGGTCTTCTGCAAAGCTGCAAAAGTTCCGGGGATGAGCGCCTCCCTCCACTCCTCCCCAGACGGGACACAGGTTGAATCGGTCTCTGCAGGCTGGAGCCTCCTGCAGCCGCCCAAGCTCCTCGTGCTTCCTCTCTCCTCTCAGTCAAGCCCGGCCTAGGGTCTCTGCCGGCATCTGCAAGAGAGCCACGTGTGCTGGCCCGGAGCCACTGCGGCTCTTGGGCGGCTCTCACAATGGCTCCATTCAGAGTTGAGCTGGCCCATGGGGCTGGGGTGCGAGTTAAGACACTGAAGAAGGGGTTGCCAAAGATGGGAGAGTGGTGGCGGCAGCCCTGGGCACAGCCTGATGTGGGAGTGGCCAGCTCACAGCTGGGGCCACCAAGCTTGGGCTCCCCGGGGCCCAATGAGGGTAAGTGTGGGAGCAGACCGAGGGAAGGATTACTCATGGGTCCTCCGCCCATGCTCTTGCTGGCATCTGCAGGCCCCTAGCCAAGTTTGCAAAGCAATCCCTGCTTTAACAGCTGGGGCCTGTGCGCCATTTCTCCCAGGGTCCTGAGCAGGAACCGGAGGCTCCCTGCAACTACCTCTGCCTCTCCAAGCTGCTCAGCATGTAGAACGAAGCTCTCACTGGCTCCCCACTGACCTCACCTCAGAGTCCAGACACACTCCCCTCCCCCGCCCCCCCACCAGCTTTCCCACCTGAGCTCCAAACTCTTTACAATTGGCCAGGTGGGAAGAAACGCACCCTCATAGTAAAGACAGACACACGATACCGCCTGACCAATCAGGGTTCCTCCCCGTTCCCAGACCCTCCATTTGGTAATAGTTTCTGGCAGTCACATAACCTGAATCAGTCCAATGCTGTGTCATCCACCAGCTTGGGCATAAAGCTCCAGAGAGCGTCTGAGGAAATGGCCCAGCTGGTAAAATGTTTTCCTTGCAAGCACGGGACCTGAGTCCCACCTCCAGAACAGATGTGGTAGCACACATTTGTGATCCCAGGGCTGGGAGAGATAGACACTGGAGGCATCCTGGTGCTTGCCAGTCCAGCCCATTTGGCTAGCTCCAGACCAATCAGAGGCCTTATTTCAAAATACAAGTCGGGCCTGGGTGGGGGTAGAGGGTGGGGCTAGTGGCTCATGCTTTTAATCCCAGCAGTGGGGGATGGAGAGGGAGGCAGGTGGATCTCTAAGTTCAAAGCCAGCCTGGTCTACAGAGTGAGTTCCAGGACAACACGAACTACAGAGAAACTGTGTCTCCAACAAATCAAACAAATACCAAGGTGGGCAGTAACGGAGGAATGACGCTGAAGTAGTCCTCTGGTCTTCATATGAGCTCAGACAGACACACAGACAGCGCTGGAGAAGCATTTCTTGTCTGTTTGAGACAAGCTCATTATGTAGCCTTGGTTGGGCTAGAGCCACGTAGACCAGGCTGGCCTCAAGCACACAGGGATTCTCCTGTCTCTGCCTTCTGAGTGCTGAGATGCCAAGTGGTGGTGGCGCACATCTTTAATCCCAGCACAGGCGGAGGCAGAGGCAGGTGATCTCTGAGTTTGAGGCCAGCCTGGTCTACAGAGTGAGTTCCAGGAGTGCCAAGGGCTACAATGAGAAACGTGTCTCAAAAAACAAAACAATACAAACAAACAAAGAACAAAAATGCATGCCACTGTTAATCCCAACGGCGAGAATAAGACCACTACCACAATTTGAGCCAAATTTGAAGCAAGCTTGGTTTTTATTGGGGTGCAGCCAAGAGCTGGCCAGGGACTGCCTCCTAAATTGGGTTAAAGAGAGCAGCCCCAAATCCATCTCTTGGGCCCCTTCTAAGGAGTAAAATCACGAGTAGTTTTACAGAAGGGAGACAATGAGGCAATAAGGAAACACAAAAATTCTTTTAAAAAAATCACATGGTCATCCACCATGTGATTAGGGAGGGCCAGGGAGGGTCAGAGTATTCTCAAAAACAAGTCAAGGTCATGGGTTGGGGAAGGTCAGGTTCCAGGAAACAGAGAGCAACCCAACTCTCAGAGATGCCGTGGATTGCATGGTCCTCAGCCAATGACAGCGAAGCTTCAATTTCACTCTGCTGTTTGTCCAGCCTGGTTGCCATGGTGTGGTCTTGGCTGGGATTTCAAGAAAGTCACCTCACCTTTCTCTGCACCTTCCTCACTCAGGAATTGGAGATAATCACATGCGCACGCACGCACGCACGCACGCACGCACGCACGCGCGCGCACACACACACACACATATACACACACACACACACACAGAGATACCCAAAATGGAGTGTGCTCAGCACAGAGAAAATGATCCTCAGAGGTACTTGCTGGTTCCCAGCTGTAAGGCTTGACTAGCTATTTACCCTTCCTCGGGCCTCAGTTTCCCCGAGCTGTATGTTTCCGTAGGTGACACTTGCTAACTCTGCTCTTTGCTTTAGGGACAGCTCCTGTGTCAGTCTTGTTTACTGCTTGTCCCCAGCAATTGGCCCTGCCTTTCTGACCTTCCTTCCTCCTCCTCCTTTTTTTTTTTTTTGTGACAGATTCTCTTATAGCCCAGGCTGGCTTCCAACTTAAGGGTGACCTGGACCTCCTGATCCTCCTGCTTTAGACGTCTATAGAACAGACACGCACCATCCAGTGCCTTCTGATGTAAGCACATGCACTCTGGAGAGCAACTGACTCACTTCTCTATAAACGAGGCATTTGAGGCAGAGAGCTTAACAACAAAAATCTTGCCTGTTCGCTGGGCATGGTGTCGAACTCTTGGAATCCCAGGACTGAGATACAGAGACAGGAGCATTGCGAGTATAAGGCCAGTTTGGTCCACATAGCAGGTTCTAGGCCAGCCAGGGTCACTCTGCCAGGAAAACAGAAGAGGACCGTGCCTGAACACTTTTCCAACCCAGATCACCCATCCCCAGAGGCCACCCCTGATTTTCTGTGGTCCTGTGCCCTCTTTAGGAGTTGGGGTACACTGTGTGCCCAGACACCCTCTGGTATTCATTGTCCATCCTCTGAAACAGGATCCCCTGTCCTCAGGTGAAAGCTGGGGGGCAGCTGTGGGATTCAGGGAGCTTCCATGGCATAGCCTACTGACATCTATGTCCCTTGCACATCTGGTGGCCATCATAGTTCACATCCTGTATAGCAGAGAGGCGGCCAGGAACAGGCTGGAAGGCCTAGCTCAGAGGTTGACTCCTTCAGGTTTTGGGTGGCCCACAGGAAGGGCAGGGGTGACTGGATGCTCCCTGGAGTCTATCTGAGCCCCTAAGCCACAGTCCTGGACTGTTTCAGCTAGGAGCCTCAGGGTGCTTGTAGACTATTGGGAAGAGGACCATGTCTGAGCCACAGTGTGCCTCCAGGGTGGACAGGATTTCTGTAAGGCCAAACACGTCAGTTGCTAGCCATCGTGCCTGAGAAGGTCCATGTCTCCTCACTGATGGATAGAGACCTGGAGGGAAGGTCTCACACCAACTGATGGCAATGGTCATTTGAGAGTGGGAAGGACAGACAGGCTCCTAGGTGAGGGAAAGGCTTCTAGAAAGATTAGTAGGGCAAGTGGCCCAGGTGACTGATGAGGCCACCGGCAGCCACTGCTTATCACACCTCCCAGGCCTCTCGAAGCAGGCTGGCACAGAGCCTCCAGCCATGTGTGCTGCCTCAGCGGGCTTCACAGCTGGACAACATGGGGCTGACACACTTCAGCCTGTGTCACCGTAGGTCACGTCACAGACTCCAGGCTCAGGCTCTTCATCTGTAAAATAGGATAGTTGTTTTTGTATTATTTCCTTTTCTTGATTATCTTATTTTATTTTTACTTTTTTGGAGATAGGGTTTCTCTGTAGCCTTGACTGCCCTTGAACTTGCTCTGTAGACCAGGCTGGCCTAGAACTCAGAGACCCACCTGCCTCTGCCTCACAAGTGCTGGGACTAAAGGCATGCGGCTTGTTTTTGAATCGTTTTCTATGGTAGGGTCTTGTATAGATTAAGTTGCCTTGAATTCTTCATGTAGCTGAGGATGGCCTTGACCCTCAGCTCCTCCTGCTTCTGCCTCCTCACAGACATGCAACACCAACCCTGGTTTGGAGTGTTCTCTTTTAAAGATTTATTTATTTTATTTTATGTATATGAGTGTTTTGTCTGCATGTGTATATGTCACTGTGTGCATGTCTGGTGACCATGGGGAAGAGAGCACCAGATGCTAGGAACTGGAGTTATGGACAGTTATGAGCTGTCATGTGGATGCTGGGAATTTGAGGCCTCTGGAAGAACAGCCAGTACTCCTAAACTCTGAGCCATCTTTCCAGCATTCTGTTTTAATTTTTTTTTAGAAGTTTCCTTTTTGTTATTATTATTTTTTTAAGATTTATTTTGTATACAGTGTTCTGCCTGCATGCCAGAAGAGGGCACCAGTTCTCATTACAGATGGTTGTGAGCCACCATGTGGTTGCTGGGAATTGAACTCAGGACCTCTGTAAGAACAGCCAGTGTTTTTAAATGCTGAGCCATCTCTCCAGCCCCTCTGTTTTAATTTTTACTAGGGCCAGAGAACTAGGTGCAGTTTTCAGATTCAAAAAACATACAGGGAGACTTAGTATCTAGTTCACACAGTAAGTAGCTGAGATAGGAAAATCCAAGTTCCTTCCCAGAGCGCAATAGAAAGGATGTCACAAGTCACATCTCTCAGAACAGGCAGTCATGGGAAATGGGTGCCCACGAAGCCTCAGGACAGGCCCTGGCATGCAGCAAGTACTTCACAAATTCAGGGGGGAGGGCTAGAGAGATTGCTCAGCAGTTAAGAGCACTTGCTGTTCTTCCAGAGGTCCCAGGTTCAATTCTCAGAACTCGCATAGTAGCTGACAACCATCTGTAACTCCAGGGCCAGGGGATCCAATTTCTTCTGGTCTCCGAAGGCCACAGGCACACACAGTGTACACAGATACACATAAGGCCAAAACAGCCATACACATGCAGGTGTTTTAGTTAGAGTTTCTTTTGCTTGACGAGGGACTATGACCATGGCAACTCTTATAAAGGAAAACATTTCACTGGAGCTGGCTTACAGTCCATCATTGTCATGGTGGGAAGCATAGAGGCATGCAGGCAGACACGGTGCTGGAGAGGTAACTGAGAGTTCTACATCTAGATCGGCAGGCAGCAGGAAGAGAGACAGACACTGGGGCTGGCTCAAGCAGTTGAAACTTCGAAGTGCACCCCTATTGACACCCTTCCTCCAACAAAGCCACACCACCTAATTGTGCCACTCCCTATGGGCCCGTGGGGCCATTTTCATTCACACCACCACAGCAGGTAAAGATATGAACACCCAGCTCAAGTGTTAGGTCACCAACAGCAAGACTGAGGAAGGGCTGGTGACATGGCTTACAAGGGAAAGGTGCTTGCTGCCAAACTCACTGACTGATACCGAGTTTGATCCTGGGACCTGTAACGAGAGCCACGAAGGTCTATATATATCGATTCATTAAAGGGTTCTATGGGGAAAACAGACTCACTGCTACAAAAGGAAGCGACGCTGTTGCCTCTTCGTCTCCCAGGAAAAGATGGAGAAAGCTCCAGACCAGGTCACTGAACCCTGCGCCAGGAAGCCTTACATGTCCAAGAGAGACCGAGACCCCTTCCCTCTTCCCTTTTAAGAGGTCACGTAGGCAGGCAAGAAGCACTACCTCTATCGAGCTAGCTAGTCCAAGGTCACGGGTGAAGCAAATACCCACTACACTTCCCCTTTTTGTCTAAATAAGAAAGTTCTAAACCTAATACAAACTATATACAATAGGAATGATTATCAAGTATTGTCCAGGAGAAAGAAGGGGTAGTAACATAAACAAAAGTGGAACTACAGCCAACAAGAACAACATACTGAATGTCCAGACCATAGGTAACTGGCAAATTACAGAGATTACTCCAATAGCTGTCCTATCCTGAAGAATCTAAATCTAGTATCTAATATGCTCTTAGCTAAGATGATTGTAACTGTAACTATCTAGTCTTCAACCCCATCAAAGACCAGAGAAGGAAAATAATATTGTAATGATACGGTTACTCGGGAGGCCTTGGCGGTTGGGCCAAGGTGCCCTGGTGGGTGAGGGAGACACGCCATGCTGATGTGGCGGCGGTGGGCTGCATGGCATGATGGAATGTCACTCATATCATGCAGACACGGCATCCACATGGAGAGTTTATTGTTATAGAGAGATAGACGGAGAAAGAGAGGAAGAGAGGGAGAGAAGAAGAAAGAGATGGAGAGGAAGAGGGAAAGCAGAGGGGTGCGCACCTCCTGGAGAGAAAGGGAGGAGGGGAAGAGGAAGACGAAGGGAGGGGTTCTCCTTAAAGGAGGATTTACACCGGGACACAGGGCGGGTCCCCTTTGTAGGTCAGAATGCCAAGAAATATTACCTGAGTAAACAGGAAGTGCAAGCAAGCAACTTCCAAAAAAAGTGCAAGGAAAGACAGAGACAGTTGGCTGCCTGGACAGTCATCCAATGTTTCTCTGCAATGTTGGGGTATCTACTTATCGTGGGCGGAGCAAATACCCACTCCAGGGACCCACATGTCAGGGGAGAAAAGCAACTCCCACAAGCTGTCCTCCAACCTCTGTGGTGGTATTGTGTTCCCCAAAATATTGTACACCCTAATAAACTTATCTGGGGTCAGGGAACAGAAAAGCCACTAGATACTCAGGACAGGCAGTGGTAGCACATGCCTTTAATCCTAGCATTCCAGAGGCAGAAATCCATCTGTTCAAGGATACAGCCAAGCATGGTGACTCACGCCTTTAATTCCAGAAAGTGAGCCTTTAATCCCAGGGAGTGATGGCTGAAAGCAGAAAGGTATATAAGATGTGAGGGCCAGAAACTAGCAGCATTTGGCTGGTTAAGCTTTCAGGCTTTTGAGCAGCAGTTCAGCTGAGATTCATTTGGATGAGGACTGAGAGGTTTCCAGTCTGAGAAACAAGATCAGCTGAGGAACTGGCGAGGTGAGGTAACTGTGGCTTGTTCTGATTCTCTGATCTTCCAGCATTCACCCCAATAACTGGCCTCAGGTTTGATCTTATTAATAAGACCTTTTTAAGATTCCTGCTACAAACCTCCACATGTGAGTCATAGCATGAATGCACCCATACCCACAAAACAAACAAATTAAAAAGAAGGGCTGGAGAGATGGCTCAGGGGTTAAGAGTACTTAAGCTCTTGCGGAGGACCTGAGTTCAGTTCCCGGCACTCATATCAGAGAGCTCACCATTGCTCTCTATAACTTTGACTCCAGAGGTTCTGATACAGTTAACCAGAGTACTAGTCCTTTATGTTCAAACGACAATGGCCCAGGTTTAGAGTCTGAACACACATGACCTTGGGCAGGGCATTTCTCCTTTCCTCGGCTATTTCCTGAGCCTCTCAAAACTATAAACTGTTTACAGTTAAAGACAGAAACCTTCCTGTATCCTTGTGGCTTGGTTTCTACCTCATCCATCTTGATCCTGTCGGATGCGGCCTCAGGAACCACCCAGTGACCTCACTTGGGGTTCTTAGCAACTCTTTGAAGGTAGTAACTTCACACCCCTCCAAATCCACCGCAAAAACACCATGGATGCCCCCATGAGGAGCCTAGGACACTTGCTATGTCTTATCCTTGGAAAGGCCCACACTCCTATTCTCCTGTGTCCCGCTTCCTTTTCAGAGGCTCTCTTTCTCTTAACCCACATGCTTAAAACATCTCATTAAACCTCAGCTGTGTTTCATATTGGCTAGTCCTGGGATTCTTCTCGGCATCAGATCCACCAACCACGGTTAGCTTTGAGTCAAGACGTCTACAAGTCTAAACTGCTGGGGCTGACAGCGGGGAGCCTGTCCTCCCTCTAGAACAGTCTCAGGAGATGCCAGGCCGGGGGACTGATGCATACCGTGGTTCAGTGAGGCCTGAGGAACTTTCTGTCCCCCACTGCCTCTCTCCAGGTTGCTTTGATCCATGAGTAGGTACACTTGTGGTGTCCTGACCGCTGCCAGCAACGTCTTAGAAATCAAGTGCCCTAGTCCCGGCCAAAAAAAAAAAAAAAAAAAAAAAAGAGAGAGAGAGAGAGAAACCAAGCCGGGCATGGTAGCTCAAACCTGCAATCCCAGCACTTGGGAAGCTGAGGCAGGAGCATCACTGAGAGCCCAAGGACAGTATAGCAAGTTTCTGGACAGACTATAGAGTCAAAGTAAAGACCACAACCAAACCAAACCAAAAAGTAACAGAACAGAAGTTAAAAAGGAGAGCAGCCTCAACACCAGCCCTTTTGACCTTTCTTTCTCCTTTGATTGGGTGAGCTGAGTCATGTGGTCCACCCTGGCCCAATGACAGCACCCGAAGTGTCTCTGCAGCTCAAAGTTGGGAGGGGGTGTGCCTTTCCCGGCAGTGGGGGACTGGAGGGAGGAGGAGGAGTTTGTTGGGAAGCCCCGGGCGGGCTGTGGATGGAACTTGAAGAGCTAGTGACCCCTGTGGGCTGGGGCTGGGGCGGGAGGACCCCGAGTTACACAAACAACCTAAGCAGCAAGGAGCGGCCAGGCACTCAGTGCAGTGGATCCCCGGAGGAAGTGGTTTATTTGGACTGAGGGTGGAGGTGTGTTTGCCAAAGATCCCTGGAGGCCTCGCCTCTGAAGCCTGAGATCTGAGAAAGACTTAGAACGCAGGAGGAGTGTGGGAAGAGGGTCAGAGGGGCCAGTATGAGCAAAGATCTGTGGGCTTCAAAAGCCAAGGCACTGTAGACGTCGACACCAGCCTCAGAGCCAGACCTGAAGCTGGGGGTGTAGCTCAGCCAGTAGTGTGCTGGCCTAGCCTACACAAGGCCCTGGACTCGATCCCCAGCACCTCTTAAGAGGGGTGGTGCGTCCGACGTCACGTGGGATGTGGAGGCAGGAGGATCAGAAGTTGAATGCCATCTTCAGCTCCACAGCGAGTTGTGTAGCCAGCCTGGGATGTCCGCAAGAGATCCGGTCTCAAAACCCAGAAACAACAGACAGAAGTTCCGGTGGTAGTTTTCTGGGGGGTAGCCCAATGGGAGAGCACTTGCTCAACATGCATGAGGTCCTGGGTTCAATCCTGGGGATCACCTCCATGCTGGAGAGGGTGGTCCAGCAGGGAGCATTACTGAGCACTAAGTGGTGTGGCAGCTTTATCTACTTGGGAAAGCTGTTACTCCTCATAGAAAGTGAGGCACAGAAAGGTTAGGCGATTTCCCCAGAGCCACACAGCTGAAATGGGTGACGATGAGCTTGGAATCCGGATGGTCTGACTCAGGTCTCCACCCTGGCAGCAGGAAGGAGACAGTGCCTAGTCGTTCATGCCAGGAGGCACTGCTGCTGGCAGCAGCCTCAGGAGAGACACCCACATCTGGCAGACAAAGAAGGAAAGCCCCAGTTCGTCTCCGGAGGGCAGGAAGGAGCATTTGTTGGAGCGCAGCCCTGTCCTCCGGCCTGAGAGCTGAGAGGAGGTAGGGAAGGGAAGCAGAGGGGGATCGACGAGCCAGGAGGTGTGGCTCCCAGGACTTGAGTTCTCAGGGACGCTCTTCTGAAGTCAGAATTCTCGTTTCTTCAGCTGCCATGCCAGCGGGAGGGGGCCGTCAGAGCTCAGCCTGAGGATGTCAGCTGGGACCCATGGCCTTTTGGCTTCAGGGTCTGCTTTACTACCCCCCTCCCCCATATTCTCCACAACAACTTTGCTTTCCCATGGACTTTGCGTCAAGAGAAAAAAAACCTCATTATTGATAGTCTTCTGGGGGCCGGGGAGGTGTCTCAGTGGGCAAAGTGATGAGGACCTGAGTGCAAGTCCCCAGCACTCACATAAAAAGCCAGCAGCCTGGCTCAAAAAGTAAGGCGGAAGCTTGGTGGAATGGCTCAGTGGGTAGACACTTGCTGCTGAGCCTGGCGACCTGAGCGGTGGAAGGAAGAACAGGCTCTGTAAGTTCTCTTCTGACCTCCTCCTGGGTGCCGTGTCGGGCATGTGCCTGGACACAAACAAGAGTAAATAAATAAATGTAATAACAATACGTGAAATAAAAATATCGATGCTGACTGAGGAAGACGCCTGATACTGACTGCTGACCTCCACGTCCATCTACACACACACACACACACACACACACACACACACACACACACACACGCACCCGTACGTGCGTGCCCACGACATTCAAACAAGCCAGTCCTCTGTGACTATACCTACACCAACCTAAGCATGGGTGCGTAGACGGTCTTTGTTTTGTTTTGAGACAGGCCCTGCCTAGCCTGGAACTCACTCTGTAGACCAGGCTGACCTGGAACTCAGAGATGCACTTGCTTCTGCCCCCCAAGTGGTGGGACTAAAGATGTGCACCAGCATGCCCTGGCAAGACCCTTAAAGATGAAGAGGGAAGACATGCCATGCCGCCAGGAAGGAGCTGTTGGGCCGCAGCTGGGGGTCCAGCGCTTCTCTCTGCCTGAATTCTGTAATGTTTCCAATCACTGAAGTGATTTCAACCCAAAAGAAAAGTTGCAAGATTCATACAATGAACTCTAAAATACCCCTGGCTGAAGGCACCTTTGATCTTTTTCTTTTCTTTTCTTTCTTTTTTGGTCACATCTTCTCTATATACAAAAGACATAAAGATATGATGTGTAGCTATATAAATAAGTATATAGCTGGATGTGGTGGTTCACACCTATATGTTAGCATTTGGGAGGATGAGGCAGGAAGATTATCATACACTTGAGACCAGCCTAGCCTACCTAGCAAGTTCAAGGCCAGCCCGGGAAACAGGGAGATCCTGTCTCAAAACAACAATCACACACTTTTATTTTAACTATTTGAAAATATACTGCAGGGTCTGTAAGATGGCTCAGGGGGTAAAGGGGCTTGCGGCCAAGCCTGGTGACCTGAGTTAGATCTAGAACTCACATGGTAGATGGTGAAAATGGACTCGCTAAAGTTGTCTTCTCACCACTATACCTGTGCCTTACACACACACACACACACACACACACACACACACACACACACACACACCCCAAATACATGTAGTTAAAGGCAAGAACCATGTCTTTAAATATTTTAAGGGACTGGACAGATGGCTCCATGGTTAAGATCTCTGGTTGTTCTGTCAAAGGACCTGGGTTCGATTCCTAACACCCATGTGGTGGCTCACAACCATCTGTATCTCCAATTCCAGGGGCTCTGACACCCTCTAGCCTTCTTCTGAACTTTGAGGGCACCAGGCACACAGGTGGTGCACAGACACATACAAAACATATGCTGGGGTGGTGGTGGCGCACGCCTTTAGTCCCAGCACTCAGGAGGCAGAGGAAGGCGAATCTCTGTGAGTTCCAGGTCAGCCTGGTCTACAGCGTGAGTTCCAGGACAGCCAGGGCTACACAGAGAAACCCTGTGTGGAAAAAACAAAACAAAACAATAAAACAAAAATAAATAAAATATTTAAAAAGTTTTTATTGAGACATGTTAATACACGGTGGTGCATTTCATTATGGCATTTCCATATGTGTATATAATGTCTTTTGATCACAATCACCCCCATAACTCACTCTTTTCCCACCCCCCCTGAATCCCCCTCCTCTTCTCAACTATTTCCCCCTCTACTATCAGGGTTTGGTGTTTTTTTTTCCTTAATTAAAAAAAATATTTGCCAGGCGGGGGAGGGGGGGGCTCATGCCTTTGATCCCAGCACTCGGGAGGCAGAGCCAGGCAGATCTCTGTGAGTTCGAGGCCAGCCTGATCTACAGAGCGAGATCCAGGACAGCCACCAAAACAACACTGAGAAACCCTGTCTCGAAAAACCAAAAAAAAAAAAAAAAAATATATATATATATATAATATATACATTACATATATAATATATATACACATTTTATATATATATATATATGCTTGTATGTCTGTGTACCACATGCATGCAATACTCACACCAACTCACACCACAGAAACCAGAGAATGGTGTTTGAATTGGTGTTGGTGTTTGAATGGTGTTGGATTCTTTGGGACTGGAGTTACAGTTGTGAACCCCAATGTGGGAGCTGTGAGTTGAACCTGGGACCTCTGCAAGAGTAGCCAGTGTTCTTAACCACTGAGCCATCTCTCCAGCCCTTTTTCTGTCTTTCTTTATGAACTTCATTAGGGTTGTGTACAGGTGCAGGGTGAGAGGTCATTTTTAGGAGCATGGGCATATTTCCAGTACCTGCACCCATGAAGAAACTGTCTCTCTCTCCCCCAGCAACTGTGAATTGCCTAGAGACCCTCAGGAAGGGCTGGGGCCTCATGAGTCTCTCCCTCATCCATGATGCTCCCAATATGGTCCAAGGAATCATACCCGCTTGTGAGTTCAAGAGTGTGACAGCTGTGTCATGGCCAGAGGACGGGGTTCCATTACACCCCGCCCCTTCATTACACCCCACCCCTTCATTACGCCCCACCCCTTCCTCTTGCCTCTCTTCCATGATCTTCCCCAGCCTTGTTTTTGTTTGTTTGTTGTTTGTTCTGAGACAGACGTCATGTCCCAGGCAGAGCATGGAAGACCTTGAATTTCCTGTTCCTCCTGCCTCCATCTCCAGGCCTTGAACTTGCCACGTACCTGAAGCTCCTGCTTCCCCCTCTCAACTGCTGGGGGTATAGTTATGCCACCGGGCCTGGTTTATGTGATACTGGGAATGGAACCCGGGATGTCATGCATGCTAAGCAAACACTCTACCAACTGGGCTACATCCCCAGACTGTAATATGAATGTCTCCTTGATATTACACACACACACACACACACACACACACACACACACACACAAAGTCAGAGGTCAGAGGTCAACTTTTGGGAGTCAGATATTAGACTTGGGAAATTTACCATTAAGTGAGTACTTTTATTTTTAGAACTAGGATTATAGAGACAAAATGTTCAAAACTAAAATAAGATAAAAATCCCCAAATTTTAACATTCAGATCCTGCCTCAGTGACTTGACACATCTTATATAAACATGCAGAGCCTAACTCCCAGTGACCCACGGTGCTTGGCCCTAAATGGCCCAGAAGGACAAGTCCTGCTTTAAATTTTACTGCTTAACAACACAGCCAGCCTGTCCCCTCTGATAGAGACCCAGACAAATGGCCTGTGAGATAAGATTGAAGCACCAACGCCCAGCTGCTGAAAGACTTCACCCCTCAGCCTGGAGATGGGATCCCTTCCCAGGGCTTCTTACACTGCAGTTGAAGAACTCTCTCCGTCCTTCTCTTCTGTCTTTCCCATAAATCCTTCGAATCTTACTCATCGCTGGCCTGTGGCCATCCACACACATCTCACTTTGTAACCCAGGCATTGAACTCACCGATGCCCGTGTTCTGCCCCAACTACTGTGAGTATAAATAACTGTACACCACCACACTGGCCTTTGCTCCCATCGCCTCTGCTCCCAGAGCTCAATAAGCACTCACTGTACAGTCTGAGGCAGCCTTGAGCGCCTGGCCATCCCCCTGCCTCGGCCTCCCAAGTACTGGGATCGGAGGTGTGAGCCGCCACACCGGCCCCTTACTCTGCTTCGGCTCTCTTTCCTCCGCTTGTTTTGTTAGACTTCTCATTTATTTGTTGGTTTGTGTTTGAGACAGACTGAACATATAGCCCAGGCTGGCCTTGAACTCATGGCCTTTCTGAGTGCTGGGATCATAGCTGTATACCACCCTGCTGGGCAACTTTCCTTTAGTAACCCTGGAACTTTAGAAGAAACAGATGAGTTATTTTACAGACCATTCCTTCAGGGGTGTGTGTCCCGTTCTCCTCTGGCTCACTCTAGGCTCTGACCTCCTTCTGGGCTGGAATGTTACAGGAGTGACATGTGTGCCTCAGTCATTTCCAGAAGCGCCGGGTGTCTGTGGCTTAGAGAGGCTGATGTTAGATTTGGTCACCTGCACCTTAGGTCCATCAGGTTTTTCCACTCCAAAGGTACATTTTTCCCTCTTGCAAATAGGGACGGGGCAGTCTGCAGGGACACTTAGCGGTCACATAACTATCCCCTGTCTACTGGGTCTTGCTGGGTCATTTCTGATCAGCAGGAACTGCTGTGTTTCTCTTACCCTTGGTTATCCTCACCCCTGCAGGTCCTGGGATGCGCTTCTCTCAGCCTGGTCTTCTAGCCTTAGGCTGTGAAAAGCCATCCCTGTTAGCAAAACTCAGGGTCATGGTGCTCAGACACACTCCTTCAGTCCCAGGAGTGGACCCAGCAGCCCAAGGGCATGGACTGGCTCACCAGAAGACAGGAATCCTTCCAGAACCACACCTCCAAACACAGAGGCCAGAAACAGATGGCCACAGCAGATACATGCAGGGGGCTCACTTGTCAGGACCCTGACGTGTGTGGGAGGGATGAGCTGAGACAAGGGGCTTGTCCTTCTGCCACAAGCTGTTCCTGGTGCGTTGTAGGATGAGACCAGCAGAGGCAGCAGTACACGGTGTTCTGCAGGAAGACAGGCAGCCGGCTCCAAATACGGACATGCAATCGGAAGCTTGGCTCCAGGAGTGCAGACGCCTCACACAGGAAGCCAACCAACCAGCCCAACCCAGCTCCCAAGTGTCACACAAGCCGCCAGCAAGGGAGGGAGGCTGCGGCTGTTGGGGGGCATGGGGTGCAGCTGGGAAGACATCAGACCTGCACAGCTGCTTCTGGTTCCTGCATTGCAAGGACTCTGCAGGCTGCTGGGATCCCAGCGCCCCTCGGAACTGGAGATCGCCTTTATTCTTTGGGAAGTGAGTCTTGTTATCTGGGAGAGGATGCATTTGCCGTTGAATTTCAAATGGCTTCATGCCCCTTCTGTTTGCAAGCTGTGATGTGAGGAACTGATTGTTCAGGCTTCAAAAGACCAAATAAATAAGCCGATAAATGAACCGTGAATCACCAAAGAGCCCTGAGCCACCAAAGAGAGGAAGAAAAGTCCTCAGGCAAACCAAACTTTCTGAGGAGGTAGGGCTGGCCTGCTCAGCTCTGGTGTTGCTTAGAAGCAGCTGCGGAGTTGACTGCTTCTGCGACTCTCCCAGGGCAACGCTGGCTGTCCTTGCACCTTTCAGAATGGGAAATGGTCACTTCATCTGAGCCAGGGCCACCAGCTCTGCGGTGAGGACCATTTCTCTATGTTGAAGGTCAGGTTTATATTCTGAGTTGAAAGAATTGTTGGAAAGGCAGGCAGGCATCTGGGAGACTCCTGGCTACCCCGTTGCTGTCCATGTGATAGTGGATGGTGATTGGGGGGCAGCGGGCTGTGAAATGTGCCATCTGAAGTCAGAGCTGAGTTTGGATACCGCCCCTTCCATTCACCAGCTGTTTTACTCTGCTAAGTAACGTAAGCCCATTAAGTCTCCATCTCCCCCTGTGACGGGAGCACTATGACACTCAACCTGGATAGAGAAATGGAACCAGACAGTCTTGTGCAAAGGTTTCCTAGGCCGATGAACGAATGTCTACTCACCAACCACAGACCAAAGAAACAATTCACACCCAAGTCTGGCTTGGCAGAGCAGTGAATTCAATTAGGGTTACCTACAGGTGTGTGGCGGCTTGTGAGCGTCTACACACTGAAGAAAAGGTTTCTTAGTCTCCCCTCCTCACAGCTGCCCGTCCAGATATCCTCAGGAGGGGCAGGGTCTTGTGAACCTCTTGCCCCAGCAACCTTTAACTGTTTATGTGCACATAGGTTCCTAGGAACGGATGGCTCTCCCAGAGTGCCTTCCATCAGTCACAGTAACGGGCTATAAATCCTGGGGTCTGGACTTCAGGAGCCTCTCCCCTAGCAAGGCTTAACTCCCCCACCTCCCTCTGTGTGTGTGTGTGTGTGTGTGTGTGTGTGTGTGTGTGTGTGTGTGTGTGTGTTTGTGTGTGTGTGTGTTTGTTTGTGTGTGTGTGTGTGTGTGTGTGTGTGTGTGTGTGTGTGTGTGTGTGTGGTCCTGTGACTCCCCTAGCAACAGCTAACTGTCTATATATCTTCAGGGAGGGGCTGGGCTTCTGAACCACTCCCATCTGGAGACTTTAACTGGCTCAGGCTTCTCAAGTTTCCTTTGAGTAGTCCCAGCTGCTGATAATCCAAGGCGAAGGCCTTGTGCCTAGAGGACAGACAGTGGTCACAGCAGATGGCACATTGCAATGCATGCAAAATGCACATATTGAGTGCTCCACAATCCTCTAGTAACAGTAAGGGCTCTAATGATGATGATGGTGGTGATGATGATGATGATGATGTGAACCTTGAGTAGGAAGCTGCAGCCAGTATGAGCTTGAGGTAGAGATAGGGACCAACCAATGAGCAGTAGGTGGCACAGGATGTCCTCATCTGGATAGCCAATCCTGTTACTACCATCCATTTTCAGAAGCCTTCAATAGATTTTTTAAAGCTTTTATTACAGTGTATATGGTGTGTGTGTGTGTGTGTGTGTGTGTGTGTGTGTGTATGTGTGTGTGTCCATGCCCAGACCACAGCATGTGTGTAGACATCAAAAAACAACTTTTGTTTTCAGATAGGATCTTCCTACGTAGCTTAGGCTGGCCTTGAAGTCATTATATAGCCAAGGCTAGCCTTGAACTCCTTATAATCATGACTCTCCAGTTTCTTAAGTGTTAAGATTACAGGCTTGCACCACCACACCCAGCTCAAACTGGCTTTTATACTAGACTTACCATCAAGGTGACTCATTAATCTACTAATCCTGGATGGATTAATCCATTCCTCCAGGCAGAGTCCTCTAGACTAATCGTTTCTCTAGCTAGTGAGATAGCTCAGGTCAAGTGCTTTCTGATGAACCTGACAATACGAGCTCAATCCTGGAACCCACACGATGAATGAACAGCAGTGATTTTCAAAAGTAGCCGTCTGAGGGCTGACGTGAAGGCTCAGTGGTTAAGATCACTGGCTGCTCTCCCAGAGGACCTGGGTTCGGTTTCCAACAACACATGGAGGCTCGCAATCATACATAACTGCAGTCCTAGGGGATCTGACGCCCTCTTCTGGTCTCTGTGGGTACTGCTTGCACATGGTGCACAGACATACGTACAAACAAAACACCCATTCACATATAATTTTTAAAAATACAAGATTTTTTTTTGAGACTCTATAGACCAAGCTGGCCTTGAACTCACAGAGATCCGCCTGCCTCTGCTTCCCGAGTGCTGGGATTAAAGGTGTGCCCTGGCTGTCTCATTCAGTTAACAAGTGTTTCTAAACCCTCTCCTTTATTCTTTATAGTCCAGTCATTTGATGTTCTCACACACAGGAACACCACGATACCTGTGGCTCTCTCCTCCTACCATGTGGATATCAGGAACTGAAACTCAAGTCATCCGAAAGCACCTTGCTTGCTGAGCCGCGTGGCTGGGGATCCCCTTCATAGCTCTCATTGCTGGGTCTGGACTTGGACATTTTGATTAGGGTATTTGTCTATTGAAGTCTTTTCAAGAGCCAAAATGCTGTCTGATACTTGACATGTAGTAGCCCCTCAATAAAAATCAGTGGCTAGCCAGGCGTGGTGGCGCATGCCTTTAATCCCAGCACAAGGGAGGCTGAGGCAGGCGGATCTTGGTGAGTTCCGGGTCAGCCTGGACTACAAAGCAAGTTCCAGGACAATTGGAGCTGTACCACAGAGAAATCCTGTCTCGAAAAACAACCACCCCTCCTCCAAAAAACAAAAACAAAACAAAACAAAATTAGACTATACAGGACTTACTGTATTTGCTGGTGTGTCTGTAGAAGGCCCTCCTAATGGGAGGGAGAGCCGTGATCACTGATACATAAAACTGACCTTATTTGGGTGGAAGGCCATCCAGGATTCAGCTGTGATGTGTAGGGGTGCGGAGGGGTGGGGAAGGAAGTGCTTCCTCTCTCCAGAGCTGCAGAGAGAGCTAATGGCCTCCCCAGGAACCCAATCCAATTAAGGGTCTGGCTTCAAGTCAACTTGGGTTCCCTTCCTGGCTGGAACAACTTCCAAGCGACAGAATGAAACCTGTGACTTCCCCAAGACAAGCCAGTCAGTCTCCTGGCTGCGGAGCTGAAAGGGGCGGGTGAGGAGTACGGTTTCTGCTCCCAGGGGGACAGGCTGCTGGAGCCTACAGGGTTTGGGTGGCCTTGGGGGAGAACAGAAAAAGGGCTGCTGTGCCCAGTGACGCAGTGACAGGATCTTAAAGCAGGCCAGGGGTCAGGGGCTGGTCTCTTCTGCTTTCATCTGCCTGTCATAGGGAAGAGAACCTAATGAATGAGGAGGAAGAGCCTGCCTGAGGCCACAGAGCACCTTAAGGAAGAACTGGAAAGACAGGCAGCTGGCCCCTGGTCCCGCTCAGCTGCTTATTCTGAAGGCGTTAGCAACTGGTTTGTTTTTGTTTTTTGGTTTTTTTTGTGTGTGTGTGTTTGTGTGTGTGTGTTGTTTGGTTTTGGTTTGGTTTTGGTTTTATTTTTTTCTTTAAAAAAATTATTTTATTTTAAGCTGGGCATGGAGACACATGCCTTCAATCTCAGACCTCTTGAGGTAGAGGTAGGTGGATCTGAGTGAGTTTGAAACCAGCTTGGTCTACATAGCAAGTTCCAAGACAGCCAGGGCTACACAGAGAAACTCTCACAAAACACCAAGTAAGTAAGTAAGTAAGTAAGTAAGTAAGTAAGTAAGTAAGTAAGTAAGTAAATAAATAAATAAATAAATAAATAAATGTTACTTTAAATTATGTGTCTATGTGAGTATATACCACTTGAGTGTGAGCACTGGAGGAGACCAGAGATGTCAGATCTCCCGGAACTAGAGCTACAGGTGGTTGTGAGCTCCCCTATATACGTGCTGGGAGTCGGGTTCTGGTCCTCTGGGAGAGTATGCATGCTCTTTTTCTTTTCTTTTCTTTTCGAGACAGGTTTCTCTGTGTAACAGTCCTGGCTGTCCTGGAACTCACTTTGTAGACCAGGCTGGGCTCGAACTCACAGAGATCCACCTTGGCTCTTCCTCCCAAGTGCTGGGATTAAAGGTGTGAGCCACCACTGCACAGCATAATGCATGTTCTTAATTGCTGAACTATCTCCCCAGTGCCCTCAACTATCTTGTTTTTAACGGTGCTTACTTTGGTACTAGGGATCAAACCCTTGAGTATGTTAGCTGAGCACGTACCTTGGTTACTGGTCTATTGCTGTAAAGAGACGCCGTGACCATGACAACTTATAGAAGAAAGAGTTTGTTGGGGCTGGCTTCTAGTTTCAGAGGGTGAGTGCTCGACCATCACGGTAGAGAGCATGATGGCAGGCAGGCGGACCACTGCTTGCACAGTAGCTGAGAACTTACATCTTTTTTTTTTTTAATATTCATTTGATTTTATTACACTATATTTTTACACTTTTCCCCTCTTTTTATTTGCCTGTGTTGTTAATCTTGTACCATGTCTGACTTATAAGTTGAACTTTATCATAGGTTGGATGGATAGGAAAAACTATATATGTGATATGTGTGTGTGTGTATGTGTGTGGTATGCTTTGTTTCAGACATGCACTAGACATCTAGACATCTTGAGGGTACGTGTCTTGGAAAAGGGGCACTACTCTTACATGGTTTCAAGTTTCCTGAGAAGGCAAAGGCTTATAGAGAGGACAGAGCTGTTCATTTATGTCCTGTTGACAGGAACTCTGCTTCCCTGCAAGGATGGCTGGGAAGTGTAGTCTAGTCCAGTAGCTGGAGTCCACATAGTAGGCAGGAAGAGTGGGTGGATATCTGCAACCAGAACACCTGGACTTCCCATGAGGCCAAGCCCAAGCTCCCCAGAACCACTCGATGGCTCCTGCTCAGATGACCACCAGCCCAGCTTTGCCGCCGGCGGCGACTGCATTGTTTCCAATGCTGTGTTATCTCACCGCAAGGAGCTTGGTTTCAGCATCACCACAGTCAAGATTCCTAACAAAGCCACCACCACAGGACTCCCACATGGTACCCTCATGGCTCTGCCCTTCCTGTAGCCAACTGTAGCTCACGGGCAAACTGGGGTGACTTTCAAGGAAATTATACGTTGTTTTGTTTTTTAAAATTTGGTTGTTGTTGAAGCCGGGAGTGGTGACACAGGCCTTTAATCCCAGCTCGAAGGAGGCAGAGGCAGGTGGATCTCTGTGAGTTCGAGGCCAGCCTGGTCTACAGAGTGAATTCCAGGACAGCCAGGGCTGTTAAACAGAGAAACCCTGTCTTGAAAAACAAAACAAAAAAATGGTTGTTGTTTTGTTTTGTTTTAAGCAAAGCTGGGCATGGTACCCAGTGCCTAGCTCACGCCCTATCATATCCACCTCTCTCCCTCCCTCCCTCCCTCCTTCCCTCCCTTCCTTCTGATATCCCCACCCCCTCCTCCTTCTCTTCTTTTTTCCCGATGCAGGGAGGGTCCCAGGAAGTGCAGGCTAGCCCAGAATTCCATGTGTTCAGAGGATGACCTGGAAATTGTAATCCTCCTATTTGTAGCTGCCTAGTGCTGGGATTACACAGCATGCTGCCATGCTTGATCTTATGTGGTGCCAGGGATGGAACCCAGGGCTTGGTGCCTACAAGGCAAGCCCTCTACCAACTGAGCTGCATCCCTACATTTTGTCATCGATTTTTTAATTTATTAATTTTATTTTACGTATATTAGTGTTTTCTCTGCAGAGAAATATGTGCACCACCTGCAGGCCTGGTGCCTACAGGGGTGAGAAGATGGCATAGGACTCCTTGGAACGGGAGTTATATGCAGTTGTGAGTTGTGAGTCACTGTGTGGGTGCTGAGAACTAAACCCAGGTCCTCTTTAAGAGCAGCAACAAACACCTTTAACTGTTGAGCCAGCTTTCCAACCTTTTCTTCATTTTTTTTTCCCCTCGGAGACAGGGTTGTTTCTTTGTGTAGTCCTGGCTGTCCTGGAACTTGTTCTGTAGACCAGGCTGGCCTTGAACTCAGAGATCTGCCTCTGCTTCCAGAGTGCTGGGATTAAACGCCTGGCTTCTTCTTCTTTTTTTTTAGACAGGGACTTGCTATGTGGTTCCAGTTAACTAACCTAGAACTTTTTCTTTGTTTTGTACTTTTTTTTTTTTTTTTTTTTTCTGGACAGGATCTCCCTATGGAGTCCTGGTTGTCCTGGAACTTGCTATGTAGACCAGGTTGGCCTGGAACTAACAGAGATCTGCCTTTCTGTAGTGCTGGGATTACAGGAGTGTGCCATTATGCCTTAATACATCTTCTGATGGACACATTCCCCCAGGTGACAGATGAGGAAGCTAATGTGAAATGACTTGCCTAAGTAAGCAAGCATCGGAGGGGATTTGAATGAAAGATCCTCTAGTACAGAACCAAGAAGCAAAGGACAGATGTAGCTGGAGAGTTGGTTGTGCAGAAAAAGCTGGGGATGTTTTGGTGACCACAACTGTATGCCTTTTTTTTTTTTTTTTTTTTTTTTTTTTTTTTTTTTTTAGCTAGGCATGGTGAAATACACCTTTAGTGTATGTGTTGTGTGATCTTTTGATTGTGTTCTGACAAATAAAGCTTGCTTGGAGTCAGAGGGTAGAGCTAGCTACTAACTAACCATAGAGATTTGGAGGACTGTAGAGAGAGGGACAGGAAGTGGTAAGGCGGGGCTGAAACAGGATCTTAACCTTTCTGGTTGGAGGAATGGAAGAGGTAGGAAGCTATTGACAGCTGCTCCTGGTTCTCTGATCTTTCAGGTTTTACTCTGATATCTGACTCCTGGTTTTTATTGATAAGATTAATTAGATTTATGCATCATCTGGCATTCAACTTTTGGGGCACAAAATCATGAAGTACCTACTTGCCTGTGGCTTTGGAACCATGGGCACCCACCAGAGCTGCATGCAGGAACTGCATTCCAGAACTATATCTGGCTTTCCTTTTCTTCGCCAAGCCCTCTGAGCAAGTCTGGGATTTTCCTGTTGCAGCCTCTCTACAGCAAACTGCACTGGTGCCTGGGCTCCGAATGGTTAGCCTCTCACCGCCAGCTCAGCCTTCAGGCAGCTCTGTGCTTTCACTTTCTGTCTGTCACACATGCTGCTTTCGCAATTCCCCGTCTGTCTTCCAGATGGCTGACTCTTTGGCTTCTTTTCCCAGTGGGTTGTGGGCTTTCCCTGGACCCCTTCCTCAGGCTCCTGACATGTGATCAGTGGCAGCTGTCCTCAGCCAGGCTGTGCACTGCCTGTGTTCTCTGCTCAGATGTGCTACGCAGGCAGCAGCAGCCAGCCTCACACTTCACCGTCATCATCAGCAGATTTGGTGAGACAATCGGGAATTCTTAAAAGGGGGAATTAGTTAAAAAAAAGTTTTTTTTTTCCTATGCTAAAAAATGGGAAACACTATTACAGTGGAGGGAGTTAGTTAGGTCACTGTATGATTACACAATGCATGGTTTAAAAATGGAACAATTAAATGAAGGGATAATCAACTTAGCTGGGATTGACATAATGCTAAGTATTATTTTGATAATTCTTGTTTTATTCCTAAAAAAGTTGGTTGATATGAGTGCCAAGATACAAGCCTTAGAAAAAGTTACTAGAGAAAATATTGCTATATAAGTTACAAGCCTTAGAAAAACATACTAGGTGTTGGGGATTTAGCTCAGTGGTAGAGCGCTTGCCTAGCAAATGCAAGGACCTTGGTTCAGTCCTCAGCTCTGAAAAAAAAAAGAAAAAAGAAAAACAAACTAACACAAATAATAGAGATATTCAGACAAAGGCAGAAGAATTTAAAGGAGAACCAACTTCACCATTACATTATAAAATAAGAGAGGAACAAGGTTATCAAACAATCAACCTTAATTTATCTAGTTCCTATACAGAAACAACCACCAAATGACAAGTATTCCCAAAGCTATGGAAGAGCTCACTAGATTACTGTGGATATGTTAGATTTGAGGAGATTTAAGGAAGCTATAGTCTCATATGGTATGCCTTTACCTATTCTGAAGCAGACTTTAAATTCACGCTCAACTAGTAACAGAATTGGCCAACAAGACTGGAAGGACTTGGTTTCAGCAGTATTGGAACCTGGTCCTCAATTACAGTGGCGGACCTGGTAGAAAGATGAGGGTAGGACCATTGAACAACAAAGTAGGGCAAGACCAACTTCTTGGAGAGAGATATTATGCTGATGTACAAAGACAGTCTCTATATGATGACCACACCCTGGCTCTATGCCATGCAGCAGCTTTAAATGCTCAGGACAGAATTGAAGAAGTTGGAAAGAGAACTGAGTTATACAAGGCCCCAAAGAAACCTTCACTGATTTTTTTTTTTTTTTTTACAAAGATTGACTTCAAGTGTAAATATAATGATACCAAATCCAGAAGCTAGACAAATAGTAATTGAATCTTTGGCTTTTGAAAATGCTAATTCACAATGCAAAAGGTTAATTAGGCCTTTAAAGGCAAGATCAGCACACATAGATGAATGGATTAGAAAACTAACTTATAAGACTAACAAATGCTTTTCATTTGATCAGATATAACTTGCCAAAAGGGAAAGTCCTCAAAGTTAGGGGCAGGGTTTTGTTTTTGTCTTTCCAGGAGAGTGAAGGCATCCAACTAAGGAATCAGAAGACCACTGGACAAATGAGACATTTGAGAAAAAGGATGAATCATCCAGAGAAAATATCCCAAGAAAAAGAGTAAACTGGCCTATTGGTATATCACATTTCCAACAGGATAATGTGGGGAGGGGGGCAAAACAGCTTGACCACACAACTGTTATGACAGACTTAGATAGAGGCCCAGACACAGCTTCTATAACAGGCTTACTGGCAGGTAACACCCAGAGCCAGAAAAAGCTATGAGCTGACCCCACCCAGGGAGGGCCTGCATCTAAGGGGAAAATACCTGAAATTCCAAACATTCCCTATACCCCTAGACAAATGTCAGCCAATCGGGTCCTGAATCCTGGAAATCTCCTCACCCCAACCTCTGCTATGATAAAAACCCTATCCTGCCTGGACTCGGGGCTCTCTGTTCTCATGGCTGCATCAGACTGAGTCCAAGCTCTGAGCTTTAAATAAAGGCTCTTTGCTTTTACATATGGGATTTGGTCTCTGTGATGGTCTGTTGGGGGGTCCTCTCAAATCTGGGCATAACATAAAATTTCATAAATCTTCCCAAATGTTTGTTTCTGCTGTTCCCTACAGATACATAAAGCAAATGGTCTTTTTGTAGTCCTAATTCAATTAAAAATTAAAGCTGGATTTGGAGTTGGAACATGGCTCTCTCTTCTCTAAACCCAAGCATGCTTGTTAAAAGGAAAATCCAAAATCTCTGTCTCATGTCAGAAGAGCCACCTGGTATGGGAGAGTAGAAAAACCAAAATTAAGAAACTATTCTATTGCCACTAATCTCATAATCCTTTAGTTTTATTTTGACCCTTTAAAACTTTTCTTTCTTTCTTTCTTTTTTTTTTTAAAAGATTTATTTGTTTATTATGTATACAGTATTCTGTCTGCATGTATGTCTGCAGGCCAGAAGAGGGTGCCAGATCTCATTACAGATGGTTGTGAGCCACCATGTGGTTGCTGGGATTGAACTCAGGACCTCTGGAAGAACTGTCAGTGCTCTTAACTGCTGAGCCATCATCCCTCCAGCCCTAAAACTTTTCTTAAGATATGCCGGGCGGTGGTGGCGCATGCCTTTAATCCCAGCACTCGGGAGGCAGAGGCAGGCGGATCTCTGTGAGTTCGAGGCCAGCCTGGGCTACAGAGCGAGATCCAGGAAAGGCGCAAAGTTACACAGAGAAACCCTGTCTCGAAAAACCAAAAAAAAAAAAAAAAAAAAAAGATATAAATATTATCGGGGTTGGGGATTTATCTCAGTGGTAAGCACTTGCCTAGCAAGCACAAGGCCCTGGATTCAGTCCTCAGCTCTGGAAAAAAAAAGATAGAAATATTATCTCCAAATTTATAAAATTAATATATGTGTATATATATTTTAAACTTTTTGTCATGATATTAATGGTCATATAGAGTACTAACTCTAGAAAAAGGCTTCATCTAGTTTCCTGTATATCATTTCAGATTTGAGTCTCTATCATGTAACTAGGAATTAAGTTTTTGTACTCTGGATGGACATAACAAATTATGGTCCTTTAACCTCTTTGAGATCTGCTGCTCATGACATTTAAAATGTTTAAGTTTTCTGCAGTGAACCATGACCATGCCTAACAGCGTCCTTTGAAATCGTCAAAAGGAGGATGGGGCCCCACAATGACAATTCCACCTGGACGATGGCAATGCCATTAAGCTGACAAACGTCACCTAAAGATCGTCTGTGGACTACAAACTGCTCAGAACAATTTCAAGGTGGCTAGCTGAGATGGTCCAGGCTCACAGACTACTCCGGCCAGGACTTTGACATAAGCCCTGCACTTTCCCATGACACACAGACAACAAATGATACAGCTAGCTCTTCCAGGACTTGACAATTGTCACATTTTCTCAGGGTCCCCTAAAGATGCCGTCACTCCTAGACAACAGGAAGTAATTTTAAGAACATGACATCCAACAGTCCCAAGAGATGGGGTAGGTAGTTTTTGGTTGTTCAGTTGATTATGGATATTTGTCATCATTTAGGGGGGTTGGTTACAAGTTGCTATTGGTAATGGTCAGGAAAGAAGCTGAACAAAGGAGATTAGATTCAGGAATCTCATTCTAAAAAGAAAACAGGGATATAGAAATAGGATAAAGGGGTACATTATTGAATCTATTTTTAAACCAAAAAAAGCAACTACTAGTCTTAAATATTTTACATTGATATGAATTTTTGTATATTGATACAAATTTGAAATTATTTTTGTTATACTGTATAGATGTTTCTATTTTGTTTAAGATGCTTTGTATATTGATACATATTTAAGGTTATTTTGGTTAGAACATGCTGTACGTGCATTTCTACTCTTGTCCAAGGTATGGTACCTACCCAGCTCATTTAACAATGTAATGTAAATTTCTATTCCTTGAAAGTTATTACAAACTTTAGGATAGTAAAGAAATTCAGGCTAGTAGTTAGTCACTATTACAATCAAACTTGTAGTCATGTTAGGTATGTTTTCAAGGTCAAACAGAGATATACTTTAGGATAGACAGGTGGTCTTCAAACACTTCAGAGACCTACAGAATATGGCATTTGAGATGTTTTAATAACATAGGTTCTTTTTTTATGACAATGAGACATGTCTGCTGGCAGCACCAATCTACTTCAGAAAAGATTATGGGCATTGAAGAAACTCCTCATGGAGTTTCTTTGTGGCAAAAGTTAGCCACTGGGGCAAGAAAGTGCTCTTGCCTCAACTGCTGACAGTATGCTGTCCAAATTGGACAAGCAAGACACAAAAGAAAGTGACTGCCAAACTTGGCCAAGACAAGGCAGGACAGTCCTTCAAAAATCCTGCTTCACAGAAAAGTCTGTCAGCTATTCTAGGTCTGTAGGTTGAAGATGGATGCCCCAACATTGCAGAGGAATCTTGGGTGACTGTCCAGGTAGTCAACTGTTTCTGTCATTTCTCACATTTTTTGCAAATCGCTTGCTTACACTTCCTGCTTACTCAAGTAATATTATTTCCTTCTCGTGTCTCTGATGGAGTTGAAGACTAGATAGTTATAGTTTTCCTTGTGAACAAATTCAGAAAAAAAAACCCTCACAAAAGAGGTGTAAAGTGTATAAGGTTGAGAGATATGAAAAGATAGTTTGGGTTGGTAATTCAAGTTAGGATTGAAAGTGAATTAGGTACAACATTTTAGACTCACCAAGATAGTATAGTTAATGGAGTATTTTCTCTGAATTTATCATATGCTATGGACTAGACATTGTTAATGCAATTATTGCCTGTATATATATGAATATAGTTATTGTACTTATTGTATATAGTTTTTCTATGTCAGTTAAAAATCTTTGCTTTTTATTTGGACAAAAAGGGGGAAATGTGTGATATTTTTACTTTGTTCTGCCAAATAAAGCTTGCTTGGAGTCAGAGGGTAGAGCTAGCCACTACCTAACCATAGAGGTTTGGAGGACTGTAGAGAGAGGGACAGGAAGTGGTAAGGCGGGGCTAAGACAGGATCTTAGCCTTTTTGATTGGAGGAATGAAAGAGATAGGAAACTACTGGCAGCTGCTCCTGGTTCTCTGATCTCTCAGGTTTTACTCTGATATCTGACTCCTGGTTTTTATTGATAAAATTAATTAGATTTATGCATCATGTATGTGTGTGTTCCTTTGTGTGGGTGTATGCACATAAATACAAGTGCCCTTTGAGGTCAGAGACATCGGATTGGATCCCCCTAGAGCTAGAGTTATAGGTGGTTGTAAGTTGCCTGATGTGAATGCAGGGAGCTACACTCTGGTCCTCTGGGAAGCAGTACTAGCTCTTAACCACTGAGCCATTTCTCCAACCCCATACATTGTTTTTTTTTTTTGGTTTGTTAGTTTTGTTTTTCAAGACAGGATTTCTCTGTGTAGCTTTGCACCTTTCCTGGAACTCACTCTGTAGCCCAGGTTGGCCTCAAACTCACAGAGATCTGCCTGGCTCTGCCTCCCGAGTGCTGGGACTAAAGGCGTGCGCCACCACCACCCGGCCATACACTGTTTTCTTGAGTGCTCATAAGAACCCTATAAGGATGCAGAGCAGGTGACAAAAGACAAACTTGGGTTTGATAGACTCTGTTACTAACTGTGTGGCCCTATGCAAGCTGCTTAACCTCTCTGAGCTTTGCTTCTTTTCTGCTGTATACATTGTGTCTAGATGGTCTTTTCTCTAGAGAAGCTCCAGCTACTGGAACAGGCTGGTGGGCAGGAAGAGCTTCTGAGCTTTTGACTTATTAGCATTTTACTTCTTGAGCTGAGACAAGCTGATCTGAACGTCTCCACTCTCAGGTTTGTTCAATGATTTGCTCCTTCTTTGGAGGTTGGAAAAGCCAGTCATTCTATAAATAGTGCATTCAGGTTAAACTTCAGCCAACTTATGGCTTGGCCACAGCTGGCAGGAAAATATAGGATCCAATTCCCATTGTACCGACACACTTGAATTCAAAGCCAAACTGAAATTTTCCATAGCAGAGTTGATCCATACTGGTCTTGACTGGCATCACCAAAGATTAATTGAGTAGCTATTGTATGATAGGAGCCCAGAGAGAAACAGCCAAGCAAAACTCAGGAGATGGGAGATGTTCATGCATACATTCACTATTTTTTTTTTTTTTTGAGACAGGTATCATATGGCTAGGTTGGCTTGAAATCACTGTGTTGCTGAGGATGACCTTTGTCCTAGACATCATTTTATTGCCATGAAGAGACACCATGACCAAGGCAGCTCTTATAAAGAAAGCATTTAATTGAGGGCTTGCTTACAGTTTCAGAGGGTTAGTCCATGATCATCATGGCGGGGAGCAGACAGGTATGGCTCTGGAGCAGTATTTGATAGCTTTATATCCGGATCCACAGGCAACAGGCAGAGAGAGACACTGGGCCTGGTTTGGGTTTTTGAAACTTCAAAGCCCACCCCCAGCAACACACCTCCTCCAACAAGGCCACACCCATTTTAACAATACCACACCTCCTCCAACAAGGCTAGGCCTCCTAATCCTTCCAAACAGTCCATCAACTGGGGATTAAGCATTCATTCATTCATTCATTCATTCATTCATTCAATTTATATTTTATGTGCATTAGTGTTTTATCTGCATGTACGTCTGTGTAAGGGTCTCAAAATCCCTGGAGTTGGAGTTACAGACAGTTTTGAGTGCCATGTTGGCTGGGAATTGAACCTTGGTCCTTTGGAAAAGCAGTCAGTGCTCTTAATCACTGAGCTAAATTTTCCAGCCCAGGATTAAGCTGACTCTAAATATGTGAGCCTGTGAGGGCATTCTCATTCAAACCACCACAGCCTTGAACTCCTGATGTTTCTTCCTCAGCTCCCAAGTGCTGGGACTTCAGACATCCGCTGCCATGCCTGGCTAGAAGGTGGAAGTTTAAAAGATAATACTTGAGGGCTGGCAAGATGGCTTAGTGGGTAATGTGCTTGCCACCAAGCCCGATGACCTGAGTTCAATTCCTGGAACCCACACGATGGAGAGGAGAGAACTGACCCTTGAATGTTGTCCTCTTGACATTGTTTTAAACAACCCCAACCCCCCAAAACAACAACAAAAAACCCACCAGCAAAATCTGTGTGTGTGTGTGTGTACATGAATAAGGTTCCTTGCCTTCTAAGACCACAGTGTGGGGCAGGAGAAATGGTTCAGCAGTTAAGAGCGTGTACTGCTCTTGCAGAGGACCTGAGTTCATTCACATCAGGGGACTTTCAACCCCATGTAACCCAGCTCTAGGGAGATCTAATGCCTCTGGTCTCTTTGGGCACTGGTATCCACATGCACATATACTCACACAGCATACAAATATATATAATTCAAAAATAAAATAGGGTTTGGAGAGATGGCTCATCAGTTAAGAGCACTGGATGCTCTTCCAGAGGACCCAGGTTCAATTCCCAGCACCCACATGGCAGTGAAACCTGGTGTAAGACTGGTCTCCAGGGATATGATGTCTTCTTTTGGTCTCCCCAGGCATGACATGGTACACAAGCAGACAAAACACTGATATGCATAAAAAGAAATAATTTCAAAAAAGAAATAAATCTTTAAAAAATATGGATAGTTCTGGCCATTCTGTGGAAAGTGAATTGAATGGAGGAAATAAGATAAAAATTACTCACACTGGCGCACGAACACATAATTAAAAGGAAAATAAATGTTAAAAAGGAATCTACCAAGAGGAGACTTTCATATGAACACTGGTGGCTAACATTGATCTCTGACTTTTTGTTCTGTGAACTATCCTCACTAACCCTCTCAATGACTGTGAGTTGGCGTGTTCCAGGTCACATGGCTTAGGTACTTTGCTGCTCTCTATGCTGTGCAAGGAAGCTCCTTGAGGCAGAGGTGTCTGATGGAGGTTCACAGATGTTTGGGGGTTTTTCTTGGGCCGCACTCACTCACTCGTGGTACAGCAGTGCAGAAGAACACTAGCTCGCTGACACTTGATGGCTCCACCATCTAAAGGTCATGTGACTTGGGGTAAGCCGTTCCCTGAGCCTGAGGTTTCCACATCTGCCAAAAGAGGACGATGAGAACTGTGCCTGAGAAATGTCCCCATGAGGACACAGGAGTGACTATGAAGACCCCGGCTAGGTGTGTGTCACACAGCATGGAGCTGGTGAGTGGCCCAGTGTGCTGCCTGGTGGGTATCACGCCAGCACCCGGAACTGACAGAGCTGCTATTGCAAACACTTCCCCATTAATTCACGGCTGAACCTGTTAAATGGGTTCCGAATGAGACCTGTTCTACAGAGCACAAAGAGAGTCAGTAAGCCACCCTGAGCTGGGAAATGACAGTCAGGACTGGATGGAACCAGGCAATCAGCCTGCTGGGAGCTCACTGGAGGCCTACCTTGTGCTTTGGAAAACTCGACCCCTTTAGACGTGGTATTTATTTACTTAGAGACATGCATCTTACGTAGCAGTAGGCCATCTTAATCCCTAAGCCATCCCTCCGGCCTCCCTTTCTTTCCACTTTCACGTGGGTTCGGGGATTCAAACTCAGGTTGCCAGGCTTAAGAAGCAAGTGCCTTTACAGCTGAGGCATCTCACTGCCCCCCCCCCCCCCCCCCCCCCCCACACACACACCCTTGCTCTTTAGGCACCAGGTCTCACGGGACTGGCCCAGAGCTTGCAGATGTGTTCCTGCCTCAATCTTCAAGCACGAGGATTCAGACATGAGGCACCAAAGCCTCCTGGTGGTTAGGCCATGTGAGATGTGCCCAGGTACATGGTAGGTACTGCAGTATGGTTGATGGAGTGGAGCTGTTTCCTGTAGGCTTGGTGTGACCATGGAGCAGAGCAGCTGTGGTGACCCACAGAAGACCTTGGCCTGCAGTCATAGCAACGGGAGAAACAAACCTATACACCACACACCTAAGCCTAAGGTATTGGGGCTGTTGACATTCCCTCTTGGAGAAGGGAGATCACAAGACCCTCCCCTGAGATTCCACTCACCACTCCCTCTTGCCCTGGCTACGTCATCTTAGAAATGCCGAGGCTGCAGACTGGGGTGGGACTTCTCCGTGATGGCAGCTGCTTGTGAGTCACTCACGCTCCCGTAGGTATCCTGAGAAACTCAGGAATTCTCCAAGGTGGACTTGGCGGTTCTTTGCTCTGTCCCTTCCCTAAGTGAAGTGAATAGATGTTTAAGTCTCCCCAGGAAAGGCACCCAACCGCAGGGCTCCGTCATTCTGGGTACACTCTTATTGATGACCCAGAGATATTCACAAACGTAGTCGTCACTGAAACTCGACAAACCTCTTTCCCAGAGAAGTGTGTGTGTGCTACTGGGGAGGCAACAGATGCACACATATTGGTTTCCTTCCTGTTGCTGTGACAAATAACAATACCAAAAGCCACTTAGGGGAGGAAAGAATTTATTTAGCTCAAGCTTTCAAGCTTTCAGGTCACAGTCCAGTTCTTCACTGAGGGACGTCAGAGCAGGGACTCTGGCAGGAGCTTGAAGCAGAAGCCGTGGAGGAAAGAACGCTGCTGGCTGGCTGACTCACACAAGCATGCTTAGTGAACTGACCTTTCTCATACAGCCCAGGACCACCTGCAGAGAAACGATGCCGCCCAGTGGGCTTGGCTTTCCTGTATCAATTAATCAAAGGAATCCCTCACAGACATGCCCAAAGGCCAATCTGATCGAGGTAATTCTTCAATTGAGACTGACCTCTCAGGTGACTCTAGGCTGTGTCAAGTTAAAGCCTAGTATATAGGACTATATACTAGGAACCCACACACATACACACACACACTACACACTATACACACACACAGTATACACATACACACATACACATATGTACGCATGTACATGTTCTGGAGAGGAAGAAGGCAGAGGCTGGATGAGTGTTGGTAGGGCCCAGAGTGCACAGGTCGTAGCTATAGTGAGACTTCTAAGGAGTTACTATTTGAGCAAAGGACACGAGCGAGCGAGAGTTCTGGGAATTCTGGTAGACAAAGGGTTCAGAGGTAGATGAGAGCAAGTCAGTACCAAGGCCCTGAGGCAGCAGTGTGCTTGATACGTCCAAGGACTAGAAACGATCAGGT